TTGATGGAGCTGAATGCCCGTCTACGCAAAAATACCGATCCCCATAAGCACACAGGTAGGATTGAAAAACGGCAACAAAAATAACACACTTCTGAGGAAAGAGAAGCGGTCTGCTTGGGTATAGTGGCGTAAACTCAGATACATTGACATCGACTCTACGGGAAGAGAAGGCAAGAAATGCAGAAGGAACTGACACAAAACTGTCACTGCTTCCACGTGAATATCGTGTATGGGCGGGCCTTTGTTCTGCGTCGTGCATCTGACGTAGGTTAACACCATTTCGTGGGGCGATGGGTGTTTCAATTCGTAACAGGTGCACCGCTAAGTTCCTCAACTCGGGGCTAGCTCTAATAAGGATAATGCTATAGCCGATGCGTCATTCTGGCGCTGAACGACCTCCTTTGTGTACGAATATTGATTCGGGATAGAGGAGGGTCTCTGTTGGGTCAGAAATAACTGGCTAGGTTCGGATATGCGAGCGCCTCGGCAATTTCTCTCCATGAGCTCGTCAGATCAAGCTCTTGTCAAATGCAATCGGGTAAAGTGGTGTACAACTTGACATCCAACAACACGGGGACCAGAGTTCATATGTGACGGATTCGTAATGTGAAACATTCTAGTAAACCAATGATCTGAGGTAGAAACTAAAGTATGCACAAAAATCACATTCTCACCATATCAGCGCCTTTTAGAGCCCCTTCCAAAACGTTCTTGTCGTCATTGCAAGATGTGCCCGAGAGTAGATTTTCCGGCAACACTCCTGAGCGTACGTGAGTACTAGCGCAGAGCTCTGTATTCCGTTGTCTTTTCTCTTCCCGTTGTCTCTCCATTTCAAGGCGCATACGAGTGTGTAGATAATGGGTTTTCACTCGCACCGGGTTAAATTCAATTCTACCAGCGGGATTCCGACAGTGGTGAGGGCTGACACATGTGCATGGGAAATTGAGCCGATCTACTTGACAGGTTATTCCATTTTTTGAACATTGACAAGATTGCGGGTCGCAGACACCATTGGGGCAAGTGCAGCCACACTGCGTCCGGCTGATGCGAATGGCCTGACACTCAGACTTCTCTGTCCCGTCGATCTTTTCAAGACCTGATAACAAAATCCAAAATACCCTATTAGGTGTATGCATGTGCCGCTCCGAAGACAAAAGGGAAACAATTAGCACTCAATAATCTGGCTGGTTTACAACTGATTTAATGCCTGCACACACTTGCCAAAACTGGTGTCCATGGTAAATAATACATCAGATTTAAGTCGGCACAGTCGACAAGAGGTTTCGTTGAGGTCGCGCGCACAGCTTTATAGGCATTAGAGGAAGTGTCCGGGATCGTTGAAACCTAAAAACTGCCCCAATTATGCACTGATAAAAGGACCTTACAAAGGAGACACTCTATATGCGTTCTTAGGGCGCATTTCATGTGTGCTAAGCTACATAAGAAGGGAACTATTGATAAACAGAAGTTTTGGGAAAAACACCACGAGTGACTTCTAAATGAGACTGCACCGTTTGGGGTACGTGATCAAATTCGTAGCTGTTGCCTTAGCCTAGGTTTCCGATTCGCACAACACTGGGAGAAAGCTTTATAAACCCTCGCTTTGACGTTTAACGGACATGTCGGCATGAGGTGAGGATCTAGAGGCCGCATAGAATCTCTTCCCAGTAAATCAGTCGTCAGATGGCTCCGGTGGAGTGGCGTACCTAAATAACAGAACGCATATCTTGCCTTGTTTAATTTCCGAGGAAATTAATGCGCGAACTTGGAGTAAATCTTTCGAAACGGGCCTTTTCAGGCACGCCTAAAATTTTGATATAAATATTTGAGCTGAAATCCATCAGCTACTGCGGAATAACCGCTTAATATTCACAAACCGCCAACAGGCAGCCAGTAGTATAGAACTGTGCAATGATTTACCGTACTAGCAACACAGGTATTAGATAAAAGCCCATATCATATCGCATATCAGTACCACTGCTCTGATAAACACAGACAGACAAAAAGTTAGCACACTCTAATCTGGTAGAATCAGATTGTACTTCAACGAGACACTGGACGGGGCCACTAGTCCAAAGAGGTACCCACAAATCCACCAACGTTAAGAATTTCACAAAAAGGGTAAGTAAAAACAACGAATTACAAGAGACGCGGACGGACGCGATGTAGAACTGCCAATGATGTCAAGTCCCTGAGACGTCGCTGCCTAAATCACCACCGTCACCACCACTACCACCGCCAAAGTTGACTTTCAACCAATTGACGTGGTGAGCTGGAAGATCTAAAACCTGGAAACCAACAGAGTAGCCCACTAGGATACGATTATAGAATAATAAAGGCCGATCTTCCAACGACTGTCTTCTGGCTATGAGATAAGTCAAGAGGCCTTCGGTATGATGATGAAGAAATGTTACTGTTTTTAGGCAGAATGGCACTACCGACAAAGAAAACAGAGACTAGAATGGCCACCTCCGGCTTATTAGCCGTCGTCGGCCAGCCATACTCATCCCTGAGGTGTGCAACCCCTGGGACCCGATCCCGCGATCCCGTTGTCCTGTCGGTTGTGATCGGGCGTTGGACTGCTAACCCACAGGTCGCGGAATCCACACCCTGGTGTTACACACCTTAAGGGCTGAACATGGCTGACTGATGACAGCTAATAAGCCAGAGACGGCCATTCTAGTCTGTTTCTTTGTCGATAATGCTATTCTGCCTACATTACGCACCACTGTGAGGCTTCTGGCAGAGCTCTAGACAGCCAAGGCACAACGGGACGAATGAGTTCCGTAACACAATCGGTGAGCGCCCATCTACCATTGTTACTGTATCTGCCTGAAAAGTAGAACTTCCTGACTTAAGCCAAAATGTGCCATATTGAGAGACATCAAAGCCCTCAATCGTGATGATTGACAACAAAGGTGACAGTGCTCAGCGTCTCTTCGCGGCTTGAATGAGACGGATGTAACGGAAGGTGCATAAAAGTCGGGGTTATTAAGGTGGTTTGATGGCGGCGTTTGGCCTGACAACCCAATAACTTGCGTATTCCTGCAAGGCTTACGACTAGAACGTCTTCAAGCCAGAGTTGTCCGAGCGGTGGATCACCCAGTTTTTTTACTGATCTGCACAGCAGTAAAATCACTATAATGAAATGTGGACGCTACTGAACGCCGTTTTACTTTAAGTTCTGTGAAACACAAGGTCTTATGCACGAAGACCACTAGAGGGCTTTGTGGTAAACCGTCAATGTATGACGCAAAGTCCACTATAGCTTACCTTCCTGTCGCCTTTCGATCATGCCACTGGCTGGACAAGGGGCAATGCGGGTACGCCGTTGAATAAATCGGAGAATCAGAGATTTCGACTACATAAATTTCGTCGCAGTCTTCGGAGAGTCCCGCAAAGGACTCGACGGGTCGGTCCAACGACTCCGAGACGTGCCCTAGGTAAGCATGTTTTCCCCCACCACACGAGCAGTAAGAACTTAAAACCCGTTAACCGAAACGTGTCTACGATACCTTCATGCGGGCGCAATGATATCTGTGTTCACAAAGGAATAACCAGTTCTGATCTGCGACAATCGTTCCCGACAGAGGTTGTTGGGCTTAATTATTGCAAACAAAGGACTACAGATGCCCAATTCTGTGGCATCCTCGGCGTAGCTTTGCCAGACAGGACACCGAAGATGAAGTTACAAAGACGCCGCCAAGGCGTTCACTTTAAACACCCCGAAACTAAAAGGACCATGACCTTCGTAGACTCAAATAATAGCATTCATGCTGTCGCAGACGACGTAGGCGATATATGGTGCTGGTACTCTGATGAGCACATATCTTTAAGATGAAAGGACGTGCATAATCAATGCTACACGTTGCATGAGGTACCAATGCAAATGTTACCATTAAATGGATGATTGTTTGACCACACAGAGACGATCGCTTCAATATACGTACGGTAACTTATTGCTGTACAAACATGCCATTTTAAATACGGTGAAAAGGGTATGAAAAATTTTAACGGCGACAAAACCAGAAGAGGCAGTTCTAATCTAAGTGGGATGTAAATAATTCCCTTGGTACTCAGAAGCATAAGTGGAGGTATCAGCAAGGTTGGTAGAAGATAAGTTACCTGCTCTCCTTAGTAATACCCGTCGTTTCTTGACAGGTAAAGGTTGGAGAAAGTAATAGTCCTCAATACTCTCAAGAAAATTGAGATCTTCATTTTCGTCATCCTTTGAAGAAATGTCAGAAGATGTACGCTGCAGTGGAGAGTCGTGTAACCGACGTTTGAGTGAGTGATCAATCTCGTCCAATGAAACATCCTGCTTAACCTCACAGGTCACACTCGACTGATGTTGAGAGCTATCCTGCATACCGGAACAAGTACCTTCAGCGACAGTTGAGTTGCCATTTTCCTTGGTTTCGTCATTATGCAATGATTCGGATGGAAGCAGAGCTTCAACAACAGTTTGAGTCATTTCTTTGGGCTGAATAGGCTTCGCTGATTCCACTTTCCGTTCCAACATTCGGAAGTGTTGAAGTGAAAGCAAGAGCTTGCCATCCAGACAAAACCGAAGAAGAGCAGCGTTCCGCTGCTGACGTCGGTGTCTTTGGTGTTCAGTGACAGTAAAGTTTTCTTTAACAAAGTGTTTTGTAGCCATTCCAAGGGTGGACCCTCCTTGACTAGGCACACACGTAAAGCCCTGGAGGCGGTCAAAATGATACAGGTCCACACAACTGAACGTGACTTTTTTGGAAAAACTAGGTCGTGGAAGGTTGGATGGAAGGGAGTGTCGACGGAGGATTGATGTAACTGGGACTTCCCCTACACGAGTTTCAGATGTATGTGTTGAAATCTCTGAAAGAGAAGCCGGAGTATCAGGTAGTAAAACCTTGTCCGGTTTGAAAGACTCAGAAGGGACGGTGCACGACAAGTCTTCGACGGCCTCCAGTTTCTTACTTAACGGAGAGTCACACATGTTTGCTTCGGCATCCAAGGCCTTCTCAAAAAAGTAGTCCTAAGGTCGGAGAGGATGGCAGTGGCAGGTTAAAGCCAGTATGGAGCGTGAGAATGAAGGCATTTTGCGTGTTAACTCACCTAAGGGCTGATCGGCGTGCCAGTGGGTGGTAAAGAGTGAATTATCTTCAAAGTTGGAACTGATGCGAATTAGAAGTGTGGAGACAAGAATGAGTCCCCACAAGCCATTCAAACGTGATATAGTAGGAAAGGGCGGTTGATGGCCCCGCGGGCAGGTTATCTGTGGGGGGAAAGGACAAAAAGCTACAGATGCAGTTACTTCTATCGGCCATAAAACCCGACCGGAATTGATACTGACGTCCTAGCTGTAGGGGCTCGGGACAAGGGACAGATAAAGTTTTGAAACCTGACCCAATCCTTAATGGTTTTTTTTTAAGCAATAAGCAGGTAAGTACACATTAACTGCCATATACGCGTCAAGTTTACCAGAAACGCAAACCGTGCCATTTGGACCTCAATGAAGTCCTAAAATACTCACAGAGGACGTCAGATGGCGTTACAGGCGCATAATCCACAACGCTTGGGGGGAGGGGCACGGACAACAGCAAAAATAGTCGCAAAATCAGGTACTAGACAATTATCTTGTGCATAGAAAGAATTCCAAATGGGGATTTCTGACGTACGTACTTCGCTTTTTTCGCGGATAACTGGCACACATAAACGGTGGAAGATAGCAAGTTAAAATGGGTTACGTAGATGTGCACCAAAGGACTGGGAAATACTCATGGGAACAAACCACTAAAGTTCACTTGTCGTCACAACGGAGTCGTACCTATGTCAACAGCACCTTTGCCGAACGACGTGGATGACAGGTGAAGTGCATATTACACTTGCCGTTAAGGCAGTCCTCGGGCCTGTGGACAGTGCTGAATTTCTTGTTAAACGCTGTCCGGGCACACCAGACACTTAAAACCGTGAACAGATACGTAAAATATCCCTTAATTTAGTGTAAACTACGAAGGAATGGGAACATAACTACAACTGCGCAAAGGACCAACAAAATGCAAAAAGATTGTCTGGCGACAGACCAATTCGGACCGAACGTCTTCCTAGTGGTTCGTTCAGTAAAACAATGTTTGGAACTGGGACTTGTCATCGTGCCCTATAGTTGAGTAAACCTAAGCAGACAGGAGGATTCGACTTTCTATATGATCTACACAACCTTTCGAAATTCGTTCCATGCTATAAATGTTGGCTGTTTTCTGGTAGTTCGTTTTTCGATGAGTCTTCAAAAGCATCTGCGTACTGTGCTGGCGATATGTTTAGGGAACGCTTTCACAAAAGTGTGTTTAGTTTTTTGACTCCTTTGCCGATTTATTTAACTGTTGCATTCATTTCTACCCTTTCAGGAAACGGGATATTGATTCACTACTAGCAATTCTGTCATTCGGGAAAGTTTAAAATGAAAAATAGGAAATGTACATGAACCTACAATCTCTTATACTATAGGATATTTTCCCTCTCAGCCTAAATGCTCATATTTGTTATCACACGTTTAGAAGAAATGGCTTTAAGAGTGCTTTCATTTAAATGTCCGGAGAGTGATGCTGTTAGCTAGGAATTAAAACATTCATCCGTACCTACGCTACCTCCTCATGGAAAGCATCGTTCTTTAGGTCGCAAACTAACTGACATCAGTCTACCAAACCCGTTTTGTACAAAAAAAGAGACTATTCGATCGCCAAAGATTTTCATCGACGCTAACGTTGACTGACATCCTGTATGCGAGTATAAACGGCTAAAAAAGGGAAAAAATCATTTGAGGAAAATATGAAAAACTCGTCCGCCTGGGAGGCTTGGAGCTACGACAGCCAGAGCATGACTTGAGTATAGCCAACCCCCAACTGCCTGATCCACGAGGCTCCCTGCTATCCTTAAGTCTAATTAATCTTTGGTCACGTCACCCGGTCGGTATATTTGCAGTCCTGAGTGATCCTAGCGATGCTATTCGGCTGTCTCAGTAGGGGTATTTTGAGTTTTCCACCTTTTCACAACTACGTTTACTTATATTAGCGTACATAATTACTTTCTGCATTTCTGACATATTTTTCACCCGTTGAACTTCATCAGAATAGTGTGGTCAAGCACCATTTTTTTGTTGTAGCATGGTTGAACTGACCGCTTAAACAACTAGCGTCCAAGTACACTCTAGGCAGGCAAACGTTCCCAGTTTTCGACGATTCCAAGTAATCAAAGCTCTCGGAGACCTGAAAGCGACTGGGCTGTTTTTGAATAAATTTCGTAAAAATGTCCGATTTTTAAGCGTCATTTTTGATTCTCGAGTTTTAAGTACTCACCATGCTTCAATTATTTGTTATAATCTCGAAAGCGAAGTATACCTGAGCCCTTATCCCAACTTTTTGGGCCCTCAGCAATCCAACGGTGATAGTAAGACTAGCAGTGGCATCTTGTTAGAGGAAAAGCCTGCCACGATGACCTTTATATCTAGGATTTGCGTTCGCTCTCTTTATCCTCTAAACCAAAGACCAGCAAAATCTACCGAAAGCGTAATTACCACGAAAAGGTTTTGGGATACAAGGCTGGACCCAGCGTTGGATGCGCATGTAATCTAATAAAAGTAAAAAATATCGAAAACGAGCCTCAGGGCTAAATTATTCTTATGCAGCAGAAAATTGATGACCAGTGTGGCTACTGGTTTAAGAGCAAAGAAACTAAGCATAGGACGCAAAATATGCGAAAAGTATCGTCTCAGGAGCTTCTCAAAACAAGGGTAGCTACTTGGTGATTACAGAATTGAATGACATTGCAAATTTAGACGATGACTTAAAGACATTACCTGTAACAGGAGCCGCCTTGCCTACTCTTCTTAATATAAATGACGAGAGTTCTACTGTGCTAAGGAGTGATGCAACTTGCTCGTACTCATGTCTTCTCAGCTTCCGCGAGTGCTCCGTAGAGTACATGGTCGGTCGAAGCACCGTTCCATTCACCCAACTGTTTGATGTCTTGTCACTATTTAGCTCATGGCATTTAAGCAACCATGTTTTAATGGATCTCCCTTGCTCTCATTGGGTTACTTCTCTGCCTTCGTTTGCATACACTGTGGCATTCGTTCCCCAGCCGTCTTTTGTGGGACGCTTCGGTTGATGGGTAGCATCAACCGCTCAATGCCTTTTACACTCCTACTCCACTGCAATGAATTAAAGTCCTCTCCAAGATTGTCACTTTTTGGATGCACGGCGTTTCCTCAGAAACACTGCTACATATTTCTCGAGTTGACTCTAGTTAATTTGACTCATTATGCTTTCGTCCGTTAAAGAATTGCAATGCACTTTATTTCTTATTCCAGTTAAGAGAGGTAGCTATGCCGCCCACAAGTCAATCCTAACTCATTTTATTTCTCATTTACTTTCTTGAAGGGGGAGGGCGAAAAGTAACTTTGCTGTGATGAGTCGTCCTTAATGCTGATTAATTTGATTATGGCCAAAAATTCTTCAATAAAAATTCACGCTTTCGTCCATATCCTTGCATAATCCTATTTTGTTCAATTTCTGATGCGCCTCGACGGATAATAACTAATGTTTCCGTCCCAAAACCTACCTCGCTTTTTTAATTCAGCTAAAATTTTGGAGACTAAATCAGGGTGTCCATCCCACATTCGCACCTCGTATTAATTTACCGACTTTAATCGTTTATTTTTCGAGAAAAAACATTAACGCTTCCGTCCGAAATGTCCATCTTATACAATTCTTTCATTCCTGCTGGTCTTTTTGGATATTTATTAGCGCTTCCGGTCGGGATATGCAAAATATCTAATTTTATTTAATTTTCGATGCACTTTTTAAGAATGAATTATTAAACTTCACGTACTGCATTGTTTTACCTAATTCTATTTTAACTGATTTAAGATTCACTTTTGGGGATAATAAGTGACTTTTTCATTTTAAATCCCTGCCCACCCCATTCGTTAATTTTTGTCGAAGTTGTCATGGAGGAACTTAAGCGCTTCTGTTGTATTTCGATATTTTTTAAATTTATTTAAGCTGGGATTTACTTTCGGGGAAAAATTTTTTCCGTCGTGGGTCTTATCCTATTCCTACTTTATTTAGTTTGGGAATGAAACCCACCTCTCCTACCATAAATGATTAATTTCTCTCCATTTGTGTCGAAAAAAGACTTGTCTCGGAAACTACAAGTGCCCCTTTTTGTTGGCCCCCTCCATCCCGTGCGCTATAAAATTAAAGTCTTCCGGGCGCCTTCATTGGCCATTTGGCCCCTGACAAGTTCCCGTTTCTTCATCAGCCAAACCCTACCGCTTCGGAGGTTTCAGCCCCCCTATTAGCCTAAACTTTCTCCCATTTTTCATTTAGCGCGTGCTTCATGACGGTTTATAAGCTTATTTTTTCCCTGTTACCCATTATTTTTGACATTACTTTGACCATAACTTATCCTTCTGCATGCGTTCACCCGTAAAACTCCTACTTTTACCGTTCTCGTCTTACGAGTGGCCTCGAATACACCGCCCTCGCTACTGTTGCATACTGCGCTGTTGCACGTAGTTAAATGCCAACAAAGGGAGATGTGAGAGCGTCAAAAGGGAGCTCAAAGTCAAGGTCGGCCCTGGCGGACGCCTCCGGATTGTTAGTTGACAGTAAAAAAAAATTAATCCATGCGAAGACTTCGTAAATCGTCCTCATCCCCAAAGAGAGTTACGCAAATTCATTTTCAACTTTTTAACTCTGTTATAAGGAATTCAGATGCAAAGGAATCCGAAGGGGTAGACTTCAGATATCTACGAGACGCAAATTCTAAGATGTCTTTGGGGACATTGAGCATCACGTCACAAAGAAATCTGCACCACAGGAGAGAATGCCCCGTCCATCCAATGAGCCAAGGATGTTGTTTATTAACTCGCTGTCCCCGTAATCGTAATTTAGGTATATCTGAACTGTGCTGGTCTTTTTAAAAAGGCAAGTTCTAGGCAACAGTGAATTAACACTTGGTCACTATAAAAAAGATTCTTTTGGAAAGCGGAGAAAAGTGGGGCAAGATCATTGATAAAGATCAGATCTAAAATGTAGTTTTCTCTTGCTGGAGAGCTCACAAGCTGGGACCAGTTAATAAAGTCGATTATATCACGGAAAGGCCAAAATCAAGATGGGGGAATATTCAAAGACCGACCTACCTTAGAAGTTTAGATCTCAAACGATTGCTCTAATATTGAAGGAAGATTCCGAAAATATTCTAAGGATCTCAAACAGCTGTGCATCGTTACTGGCTGAAGAGTTTGGAGGACTGTAGATACAGCCAATAATTGCGTTTTTGTGACGAGAGAATAAGAAATGCAAGGCAAAGCTTCCAGAGAATTAAGGGGCATTCAGACCATAGGGGACGTGCTTTAAGGAGGATCCTGGATAAAGAAGGCAACCGCCTCCAAGCCTGTATATTCAGCCTAGACGTTAGAAATCACAGTCATCTATGGAAAGGACAGAGTCAGGAAGTAGACGATGGGTCCTGGATTCGGTTATGCATACAGTGTCTCGAGTCATCTCGTGAGTAGTGACCCTGATCTGGGCCATCCCAATTATAACAGACCTGGCATTAGTAATACAATACTGAAGTGCTTGAAGCAGCATGGTCATCGTCAACATCATTTTAAGCAAGAATGGAGGTGAATAATTGGGCTATAAATCATTGCTATCTGGGGAATAGATATCGATGGGTTCAGAACTATTGGCATATGAAGAGTCCGCAGGAAAAGGCTGAGCAGGTGACCAAAAGATGTAGGGATGTAGCTCTCAGACACTGGAGTATAAAAAGAGTTAGAAGAGGGATAGGCTTGTAGCTAGTTAACCTGGGAATTAAGACAGATAATCGCAAGTGGTGGAGAGCTGGCAGCTATAAGAATAACGCGGTGAAAAGCCAAGCCTAGGATAGAAATTAAAGGAACTAGGATGACTTACTTGAGAACAAGTGGCCGCTTTGATCTACCAAAGTGATGGATTTCCCGGTTTCTGATACTACTGCCGGTCCCACCACGGACGAATTAATTAGCCGCCAACGAACAGCAGTTAATAATAATAATTGTATTTAATGCCAGTTTATAGGCATTTTCAGGGGAGAGTCAGGCGAAACTTCGGCCAGAATTGAAATAAAATAATGTCAAAAAAGAATAAAATAAAGTTGGTGGTGGTTTTTATTGTTTGGAGGGTCCAAGAGAAAAAAACCGCTGACCACAAAGATGACGACAGTCAAGAAGGGAGGGGTTGCACTGTATCGGATATTATCAGCCGCCAATTTCTTTTATGAAGTTGGGGCTGGTCCAAACATAAGCGCCAAAGAACAGCCATCGCTGTTGGCTAAAGAAATGGTCCCTGGTGAGACTGGCCAGAGATATCAGACACCAGAAATGCCATCGGTACCGTAAAGTTGATCAGTTTATTTAACACCCAGAACTTTTGGGTGTTTTTCTGAACGCAAAATGAGGTAATAGTTCTCTTAAATAAAGGATGATTTTGCAGAGTTCTCACATTCCTGGGTAATTTATTCTAAACAGCATCTGCATCTACAGAAAAGAACGGACGATATTTGACGATATGTGTCAGAGGAAGAAAGAAAAAAGGACCTCACGGTGACTGTTACGTCGGTGGTGAACATGATGTCTTAAAATGGTGAGTGGGTTAAAGGTTCGATTATATAAAAGCTTAAATAGGAAAAATACTCCCTTTTTTAATCTACGAATCTATAATGGATCAATGCCTGTAATTCGACAACGTTCTGGGTACGATAAATTCCGGCGACCCAGGGTTAAAACTCTCTTAGAAAAAAATGCTGAACGGATACTATTTAATCCCGCTCAGCAGCACGAATGAGGCTAAATAAAAACGAACAGTATTCCAGGCCAGGCCTAACGTGCATTTCACAAAGGCGCATTCTAATATCGCTGGTTTTAAAGTCTCGGAGGATAAAACCGGTCGTTCTACGTGCTTTGGAGACTATCGAGGCACAGTGCTCCGAAAGATTGAGGCTCCTGGAGTATGAAACACCCAGATCCTTAATAACCCCAGGCACATTTATGGCGTGACCTTCAATACTTAGTTGAGGTTGGCTGTCGTCGCCAACCACCATGAGTGCGCATTTATGCCAAGAAAGAGAATGGCGCCATGTTCGGCATCACTGGGCAAAGGCCTGTAGGCCGCTCCTTAGGAGTTCATGCACGGTGTCAAGTTCTGCTGGCTTATATCGATAAGCAAATTTCAGACCGTCGGCATAGATGAAGGGCTTACCATTCAGAAATACGTCGGGTACATCGTTAACATAAAAGCAAAATAATAGCGGACCGAGTAAACTACCCCCGAATGACTCCACTCCGCACACATGTGGGGTTGGAGATAGTATTGGAAATCTTGACTCATTGTGTACGAGCGCCCAGGTAAGAGGATACAAAATTCAAAAGTTTACCACCTATTCCGAAAGAGGACAGTTTCAAGAGAAGAAGAGCACGGTCAAAACGAACAAAAGCCTTAGTGAAATCGAAATAGACTGTGTATAGTGCAAAACCATTGTCCCTAGATTAGAGAACATGGTCAAAGAAAGAGAGTTGACAGGTGTCACTAGACCGAGCTTTGAGGAATCTACGCTGTGCAGCATTCAGTAGGTAATTCTCTGTTAAGTGACACTGTAGAGGACGTACTGCCCTTGCTGTTTTAATGTGTCCTTGCTATGATCTTCCTGTACATTTTGACTGATTGGAGTTCCGAACGTGCTTTGTTTTAGTGACCGCCGTCGAAGAGCGTGAGGGGGCCCGTCGAGAGACCGCCCGTAAAGAGGAAGACGACGAGAAGACGGAACGGGATTAATTTTCCTCTGCCGATATATTTCTTTTAATAAACGTTTCCCCCGTCGACCTATTCTATCTGTGCCCGCTTGCCCTTACAGACGATGGACTCAATTCACTCTAATTCCTAGGGTTCCCGCCGAGGGCACACTGGATCGGATAAGAGCACCAAGGAAGCCTGTACGGACTGTCGCCTAAAAGGAGAAGAAGACAAGACCATACCCTTGGGTGGCTCGAGTATTACAACACATCATCTTATCTTTGATCAATGTCTCTAAGATCTTCGAAACTGCCGGGAGGTTGTTTATTGGCTAAAAGCCAGCAAGTGACGTAGATTGGCTAAACTTTGGGATGGACAAAATGCGTGATTCCTTACACAGGGTGAGATATGTTTCACGTTCAAGAGCGAGATTAAATATCTTTCATAAGAATGATTGGAAAATTACATTTGCGTCGGCTTTTAAAATACTGACTGGGACATCATTGTGTCCAGGGCTGTGAGATTGACGAAAACGCCGAATAGCCACGGTCACGTTCCACATAGTGAAAGTTATAGTTTCGAGAACGGTCCCGGTCGATGTCTGGATGGTCGGAAGCAGACTGTCGAGTTTGAATAAAAGTACTGGACAGGAAAGCACTGAAACTATTAGCGGTTAACTGGGCATCAACTATAGGATTCCCGAGAGCGTCTCGGAGGGTGAGATGCTGCGTCTTTCTGTGAGTTTGTACTTTTCGAAGGAAAGGTTTCGAGACCTTTAACGAACGGCTTTCGGTGAATTGGGCCTCTACACCTAGCTCTATTTCTTCGGACAATCTCTTAGCACGCTCAAGAATATCACAAATCAAGGGCAGAAGGGAAACGTCGTTCTGAAGATGAAATCGACGAGAAAGTCTGCGCCACTTGCGGCGAAAGGTTAAGGGGAGGAAAACCTTATCCCCGACATTAATTATTTTCTTACGGGGACAAAACGAGAAATAAGCGGATGGGAGATTTCGGAAACTTTATCAGTACAAACATTTTTATTCGAACTTAGGAAGAAACCAGTTCAATCCTAAGCATTAAGGTGTGTCAGTGATTCGGTCGAACGAGCTGATCGGAAACCGGAGAAGAAGCTATACTTTGGTGTCAAAATCTTCTCAGCCCTGAGTTCAAACTTTAAAAAAACTATGTCATAGCCTCAACCCACAAGTGGGCCTAAGGATTACACTGACAAAGGCATGCAACCTCTACAGAAAATTAAGGAAGTAAACTTGATCCTCGGGTGGGAAAATCCCCAACCTGACTCCAAATTCATACATCCAAGGTCTCAAGAGCATCTTCGAACCTTTTGCCGCCGGAAGGTGGAGACCAGCGGACTTCAGGAAGATTGAAGTCGACCTCAATTAATTAACACTTAAAGCATAAGTCGGCCGCAGCATGAAATATCAGTGAGAGTAAACGATCAAAATTCTCATTGGCGTTGGGGGGGGGGCATAAACATCCAACGAGTAAAGAGGACTTCTTTTTTTAGTGCACCTTGGAGCTAGCAGCTGCCTTCTACCGCGGAAAAATGAGGGAGGTCCAGTGGCAGAAATGTCAGTGTTTGCCTAACGTAGATGTGACTGCTCCTCAACTGTAACTGGCCTCAATATCCTATTCAAAGTCATACACAATCAATATATTCTCAAAATGAATATGCTACCAAACCGCAATGCTCCCCGTAACGAAGATATTATAGGGACCCGCAAATTAAATGTCCGTACTGCGCACTATCGGGCAAACATTTAGGAAGTTTGACGAAGATGTTTTGTGTAAAATCTCTTGAAAATTCACAAGACCGCATTTGGAATACGATATACAAGCCTGAAGACCACGGATTGTTTAAGGCAGAAATAGTCTTGAGAGAGTCCTAAGGAGAAACGCGAAATGCTTAAGGATCAGAGCACTTTTCCCAAAACAACCCACCTAATTGCATGAAGATCTGCTTAAATCCCTGCGCATTTTAAAGGAGTTGTATTGCAGTCTGATCTTGGAGAAGGTGCAGTAAGGACAGTACGTTTTTTGCCGCAATTAAAATGAGTAGGCGGCTCTAGGGAAATCGAAATAGGCACATCAGGTTTCTATTGGACCGGTGGATTTTTCAGTGCGCTGGCACTCAGAAAATGAGTTATTCTGCAAGTGAAGTGTGTCGGTGTGCCTTGATGAATTAAGGTTTAATCGCAGCCGGCTGTGGTGAAAGCAATCTTCATCGGCAATGTTATGAATTGTGCGCTTAATCTTCCGTTCATTTGCGAACATTGCGGTTGCGCAGTTTAGCCGGCTGACACAATCCCCCACATATATCAGAAGAAACTGACCCGAATACTAAGTGCTGTGTAATATCACTCTGCCGTAGCAGGATCTCCTTTATCACTGACTACGCAAACAACCTGGAAATAATCGTTAAGCTAGTGGACTCTTCATTGGAGGACGTTCTCTCTGGTCCTTATTATGTTAGGTTGGGAGCAGTCGTTGATGCGCAAAACTACCGAAGGCCTTTGAAGGCTATAGAGGGCAAGGTAGAAACCTGCCAATCCTCAAGTACCTAAATTCACCTCTAGATATATCTTAGAAAACTGGTCGTGTTTGATCTTCCCTTCAGGTTCTCTGATGACAAGAAAGTAGCAGTTGACAATTTATTGGGACTTGCATTAATATGTCCTTTTTATCACTATCCAGGACTAAGCAGAAGATGAACGTCTAACCCATAGAACTGTTTTTTTTGCTGCGTACGTCACTACTTTGTATCGGATGAAAGAATGTGTCTCCACTTCCCATCGAAAAGTGAAATTCGGGCATCGAATGAATTTCTAAAGAGAATAGTCAAGATATGGAAGTTTCATGGGCAAGTTTTTCGTGAAGCCCGGGTGGGATCTAATATGGACCGCAATGCATCAAGTATTTAAACGATCTTATTTCTTAACTGAAATATGTATTCAACGCAGGGACAGCAAGTCATCTGAAGTTGAGAAAAAGTGCTTTCCCTGCCAGCATCAGTCCCACCTGTCAAGGGGGCTATGACAGGGCTATGATGAGGTTGCAAAAGAGGTACCAAGGTGCTGTGGCGGGGCAAGTCCCTGATGATGTCCCTTCTCGCTCCCTCTCCGAAAGCAAGTATGCAGGAGACGCCTTTTTCGCCGTTTTTGTTTCGCCGTGTTTGGGAATATGTTGGATGTGTTGTCCCTTCCACACACTGTGATAGATTTCACATTCGAGAGCGAGATAAAATATCTTACACAGGAGTGACGGGGAAATCACATCTACGTCCGCCTTTAAAGTGCTGACTGGGACACCACCAGGTCCAGGGTCATGCGATTTATGGAAACGTCGAGTGGCTATGGTCACTTCCCGGAAAATAACATTCATGGTTCCGAAAACGGTACTGGTCTAAACAAAAGAAGTGCCAGGAGGTGCGGACCCAATTATATACTTATTTCGTGAACTTGACCAAAGCCTCCGACACGGTAAAAATGGATGGACTGTGGAAAGGTATGCAGAAATTCGACTGCCCTGAGTGATTCACGGACATGGTGCGTCAGTTCGACGACGGGGTGGTGGCGCGGGTCACTGACAATGAGAAAGTCTGCAAAACATTTTTAGTAACCAACGGAGTGAATCAAGACTGCGTACGCGCCCCCAACATCTTCAGTCCCATGTTCTATGCCATGTTAATGGACTGTCACTGTGATGAGCGACTTGGGATACGCATCACCTACAGGATTGATGGATGTCTTCTCAGTAATTGGCACATGCAGGCCCCAACGTGTGTAGCGAAGACTATAGTCCACACCCTGTTAGGTGTTGATGAATGCGCACTCAACACCCCGACGGAAGAAGACATGCAACATATAATGAACCTTTTCGCTAAATTCAGCCTACCCGTCAACATCGAAAAAACGGTGTTCATGCAACAACGCCCATCCAACTCAGAGCACAACACTCCTCCGATCAACGCTAAAGGCAGCCGCCTTAAAACTATGGGTAACTTCGCTTATCTAGGAAACAAAATTTCACGCAAGACGGGAGTCGATTACGAGGTCCCCATCGATTCTTCAAAACCGACCAGGCATTCGGTCAGCTGCAAGCCTCCGTACTGGATCGTCACGACCTTCCGCTGAACAACAAACAGATGTAAAAGACCGTCGTCTTAACAACACTTCTCTACGAAGCGAAGACCTGGACCTTACACTCCAGACATGCCTGGAAGCTCGATTACTTCCATCTCGGATGCCTCCCTAGATTATTGGAGATGAGATGGCAAGACAGGATTCTGGATATGGAAGTCGTGGAACGAACCAGAGCCGACAACATTCACGCCATTCTGAGACAATAACAGCTGCGATGGAGCGGCCACACCGCGAGAATGGGTGACAAGCGCCTACCGAAACGACTCTTCTATGGAGGTGTCATTGCAGGTGCTCGCCGAACGGAAAGGCATTAACGACGGTACGAGGACGTTTTGAAGAAATCTTCGAAGTGACTGCAGATCAGTTTGGAGATCTGGGAGGACCACGCCCAGGACAGGCCGGCTTGGAGAAGAGCCTTGAAGACGAGCGCAGCAATCCACAAAGCAAACCGAATCGTCGCTACCAAAACCAAAAGGACGGCTGGCAAGTCACAAGCGCCTCGGATCGGCAACGTCAACCGTTTTTTACGTGTCCACGATGTCAACGCACATCCCACGCGCGAAAAGGACTCGCGCGACCCATTCGGACGCAATGTATTGACAACCCGGCAACATTAGCTTCTCCTTTCACGATCACCTCTACTGTCATTCCTGCTTCAAATTTCTCGACGGCGACCACTCCTATCGCCGGTGACCAAACTACCGACGTCACACCGTCCCCGATCACCGGCGCCATTCTCCCTGTCCCAAATCCTGCGTCGATCACAAAGACCGTCTACACCAGTCACCGCTTCACTCAATCTCATCACCAATGAGACGACATCCGACGTCCCGTCAGCTACTGCCATCGTCACCTACCACCAGCAAGGAGACTACATGCTAACCTGTACTTGGTGAGGTCACACATTCACCTCACGCACTGACCTGATCGGTCACTTGCGGGTCTATCACAACGTTACCTGCACATCAGTGCCCGGACCCCCCGACATGCACTCTTCGTGCCCGCCTCTACTGTCCGCACTGCACACGCTCATTCACTCACCGCATGGGTCTATTCGGTCGCATGCGTATCCATGACAGCGGAGCTCATCGCACTATCGACGCTCCAAACGCACCCTGCATACACGACAAGCCAATCATATCGAGCGTTAACAACTCACCATCCGCCAGCACGACCATTACTAATAACCTCATTACCTAAACCCATTCTTCAGCCCCGAACCTGTCTCACTCTCACTGCCACCGCATCGGCCTGGTCGATCACTTGCGTATTCGTCATACAGAGACTGGCGAACCAGGGTCTCGAGCACCAACATACACTGGAAGCCATCGGCTTAATCGTCCACACTGCCCGCGAACTTTCACCCACCGCATTAGGCCTATTAGATCACATGGGCAACCTAAAAACCTATGGTTGAGCACTGCCGACTACAGCATACCATCACATCTCTCCTCACCAGCACCTACATTAAACATGGCCAAATGCAACGTCATACAACTCAAGCACGTCAATAAAACCTCCCGCGTAAGCGGTGAGTGTGTTTCTCGGCCCCTTCTCCGTGTGACTCTTCTGCTACACGTGGGATTCAAACCTGACACTACCATGTTTCGCCGACCGTTGTGACTTGGAATGTTGCCAAATGACGATGGAACTCAGAACTTGCGGTCAGCCTAGTGTGTGTGTTTGTGCGCGGGAACCAAATGGTGGACGGAAATTCATGATGCAATGGCTCCTTCTCAAAGTGAACTCTGAAAATGTCATGCATGTGAGATGCATGCGGTCCACGTCTTTTGTGCGAAATCCTGATGCTTGTATTTGGAGGACAAATTTTGTGTGTGGCGCGCGCAGACGAGTTCATTAGATATGCCAGTCACTGTACCCATTCTCCGCACCTGACATCTGATCGGTTAGGACAGTGAGGTGGACGGCTCAGCGTATTTTCCTCACTTTAAACAATCTGACGCGCTTGAAGCTATCACGGTGCGCCAAAAACCGTAGCTTGGAAGGGTACCTACTGACGGGACAACTCAGACCTCGCAATCAGCCCAGAATGCGTTTGTACGGAGTGGTCGACAGGCCGACTGCGAGTCAGGCTGAGATAACTCCTTTTAATGTGGCCTATATGGCACTTAAACAGGCCCGATGAGAATTTGTCGAAAATCCACTTATGCTCACCAAGAGCTCTTCTGAATTGGTCTGTAGGGTAAATATTGCGTAAGTCAACTACTGGATGTCACCGTCCCTGTTCTCGCCTTGTTTCGGAGCACACGAGTAACACCGTCGAAACCGATAGTCAAACTGTCGTGCGTGCGTGTATATCCTACAGTTTCAGGATCTCTCTCAGTTGGCTGAAACGGACCGTTTGCGTGGTCACTCTTCTAAACTTCAGAGGAGGTTGACTCATACCAACGTCCGACGGAACGTCATCTAGAAGATTGTCACGGGAACCTCAACAGACTTTTGTGTGTTGGTCGCGGACACAGTTGAGACATTTAAATAAAAACCTTATACTCATTTATTGTGAAAGTTCTGTACATAGACGTATGTAGACAAGATCGTATTATTGGTGACGTTTTGCTCCTAACCCACGTATCCGATGCCTTTATCTTCCCCCTAATTGTGGTCGTAAAACTGTTTTCTTTCGCTTTCTTTGGGTATGAATATGGAGCCCAAGAGCGAAAATCTTATTTTTGAAATAAGCAAATTTACTTGAAAATCTGCCGCACCTTCGAAGTAAAAATTAATGCTAAATTTGTAATTGTCTTCGGTGCCAGTATTTGCCGCAGGCATGAGATGAAGGTTATTTCTCCCGACATAACTTCACCTATCTAACCAACCAAGACAAAAAGTAAACACCAGCGATAAAGAGAGAGAGATGGATTTTGAGATATTTTCCGAAAAGGTTCATGTCTGCCTGAATATTTAGAAGTCCGTATGCAGAAGAACAAAGGCATTCTCGAACAAACCAAAACAAATGCTTTAAGACAGAGCACTGTTATCTTCCTCTTTCATTTTGCGTGCGAGTACTATCCGGACTGGTCCACTACGGCAACGTTATCTGACGATGTGAATCTAAAGACCATACTTGTACACGTCATCCACGATGAGTGTTCCGCTTAAACTTATGCATTCATTAAGTGAACCCATTTGGCGGTGACGAGACATGGCTCGATGAGCAAACGACATGGGTTCAAACCCCAGAAGTGCAATTTGGAGGTGGGTATCACTGTCTGGAGAGTGACTATCTGCCTGTCTTAAGTTGACTTTTGAAATTGCAGTTTTTCTCCACCTGGAAAGTCTTCCGAATTTAAGTAGTTTTTTGTTCTATTTTTCTTACTAATTTGCTCCAAATTCTAATGCCTCACAAGTGCACACATGAACATCACAATTTAGCTCAGTCGTACAATAGGAAGGCTTTCGTTTCTCGTAAACATCAAATTTATGTTCTAAGACTTTACGTACAAAAGTTGGGCATTGGCAATATAAAACATACTAACAGCATAAATATGCCTCTGCAGATATATCAGAGAAACGTTCCTCATAGATGCAGTTCCACGAAGCAAAATTCCACAAAGTGTGCTTTTCGTAAGATTACAAGTAAACCTTAATAATATGCGAATATGCGTTAACTTGAAGAAGGAGACACGATCGCTGAGACAAGAGCTTTATTAGCCTGGTGTTTCGGATTCCTGCTCAAATCCATGATCAGAGACAAAAGCAGATACGGGTGGTTCATGCACAAGGGGCTGCAGTATTTATAGGATGCAGCCGTCATGCTACCGCGTACCTATGAACATTCACGGCTCCCCCCTTCATCCGGGATCGTCACACTTGGTGTGATCATTGCTTGATGGCCGACATTCGAGTCGATAAATGCTGCAATTTCATCATGTGCGTTGGATGTTGGCGTGATGATTGCTCGACCATCTGACGCACCGACCCCGGTGTTGGGAAATGTGTTCACCTCGGCGCTCCTCGCATGGCTTGTTACTCCGTCTAGGCGAAGTTTTAGCACGGAGTATGGAGTCGGAAGATCGCTGCAGATGTTGATGGACTGGGGGCCAGTAAACCATGATTCCAGTAGCTCCCGGCTCACGCGGTTGACACCTCTTGCGAGAATTTCGGCCTCATCGAATTTGAATGTGTGGCCGGATCTCGTCGCATGAGCCGCAACTTGAGAGCTGACGTCATTTCTCCGCACCGCTGCAGCGTGTTCGGCTTTGTCCGCAACTGCACCAGATCCGACAAACGTTTATCGGATCCGACGAGATCCGGCCACATTCAAATTCGACGAAGCCAAAATTCTCGAAAGGGGTGACAACCACGTGAGCCGCGAGCTGCTTGAATCATGGCTTACTGGCCACCAGTCCATTAACAAGTGCAAGGACCTTCCCCTTCCATACTCACTGCTGAGACTTCGCCTAGACGGAGTAATTAGCCACGCGCTGAGCGCACAGGTGGAAACTTATCCCAACACCAGTGTCAGGGGATCAGATGGTCGAGCAATCATCACACCAACATCCAACACACGGGATACAATTGCGGCAATTAACGACGCTAATGTCGGCCATCAAACAGTCAGCACACCAAGTGCAACGATCCCTGATGAATGAGGGGGGAGCCGTGAACATTCATAGGTATACGGTAGCATGACGGCTGCATCCTATAAATACTGCAGCCCCTTGTGCATGAACCACCCGTATCTGCTTTTGTCTCTGCTGATGGATTTGAGCAGGAATCCGAAAAACCACGCTAATAAAGCTCTTGTTCCAGCGATCATGCCGCCTTCTTGATGACTGCTTTCTGGGACTCGTCTCCTCAATTCTACTGGCATTGCGTTAACTGCAGTTCGGAATATTTGGTTTCGCATTGTCTGCTTATTCGCATGAAGTAATACGATTCAATGGTTGTGGGACTCCGAGACCTCATACCTTGCGTTATGCTCTCTACTTGAATAAACGGTCTGCCTGGATGCAATTCAGTCTGCATATTTCTGGTATAGATGACGCCGGATGAAAACAAACCTTACATGCTATGGGTGACTAAAATTCTGTCTAGGGAAGCCCAGGATGAAAATTTGTCGGAATCGTTATGTCCGTCTTTTTCAACACGGCGGCAGCAGACTGCTGAGTACTTATCATCAATCTACTGTGTTCGTGTTTGTGTTTTTCTGATTCACGAATGAGCGCTCTTGAGTTTTCAGATAATGTTAGGGCCTGGAAAAGTTCCGGAGGAAGAGAATACTGAGGTAGACTAGTTAGCTGACATTCTTCTGTGGACGGATTTTCTCCTCGAGATGATCAGCATTTTACGCACGTGCGTCAGAATGGCAATCCCTGCTTGATACGATTCATATTTAAAAGGTCACCAAACTTAAGTGGAGATTATCCCATGCAGGCAAGCGTAAGCAGAGTTACGAAAAGTTGCATCTGGGGAGTTATTTACTTGATTGCTCTGATGAACCCGTGAGTGATTAGTCTTTTTCTCCCCATATTCTCAATACGATATCCAAAGAAATCAATTTGGTTCAGAACTTCCGGAGCCAGAGTTCAACATGATCGTCAAATGTGGAATAGGTTTATGATTGCCCTTTCCAGAAGAGCATAAATTTCTTTTTTAACTATGACAAGAACTCGGCGTAAAACAATTCGAATTCTTCACAAAATTGAAAAAAACAGCAGTGGAATTCAGCATATCCGGTCAGTGGCCACTTTGCGGTTAAAGACGAGGTTTTTTTCAGCGCGTTGTTTGTGAAGTGGACACAAACCACATTCCTCACCTGCAGATAAAAGAAGACGTTCAGTTTCATTGCTCTTTCGATATGCTTGTGGATTTCAGTCTATCCTAAAACGTATTTGAGTATTTTGGAATAGCTTACCACAACTTTGTTGCCTGGACAACTATTGTTATGCTGTAATGGACCAGTGCAACTCCTCAAAGACACTGCAAGCGCTTTTACACCTGCATAATCCAAGAACACGCCCGCAGGCAGGACTGCTATTTGACCACAAATTTCCCACCTTAGCAACAATGAACGTAGATAAACGGCGTTCTGCACGAAACCTAACGCATTTGGTCTGTATAAAGTTCAGATCTTTGAATGCAGTTTTGCATAATGCATAAAAACACGCGAAATAAGTGAAGTATCGGGCACCTCAGACGCGGGCCCCTTCCTCAAGTGTGCCTTTTCTTTGGATGGCTTCACCGCGTTAACCACTTATATGTGCTAAAGTCCACTGTAAAAAGACGCATGGCTAGGGCTCCTTTATTCCTTACTGTATTTTCCTCTCTTGAGTAAGATGACAAAGAGGCATC